CTATGGATTAAATAGCAGGGTGGACTGTGTCTCTAGCCTTGGCTGGCAGCTAGCTGATGAGAAGGACAATTCTGAATTCAAAACTGAAGAAAATGATATAGAACTCTGTTTTCCTGGTGCTGGCAATTTACATACAATAAAAGAAAAGGAATCTGCAGTGATCCTTGGTTGCCTGTATCCTGAAGAAATATGGCATTTAAAGGATTTTATACATATTCATGTTGAGCAATTCCTGTATTTTTATTGTTTTCTTAATGTTTTTCTTTTTCTCATTCTTTCACACTCAGTGGCTTTATTGCCTTGCTTGGGATGAATTGCTAACAAAAAAAAGAGATCTAAACTGAATCCTACAAAAAAGAAGCCATATTGGATGTAAAATGTTTGAAGATTATGAGGGCAGAGTCACATCCCAAAATCTATCCAAATGTCTACACATTATTTTTTTTTTTTAATCAATTCTTAGCTAAGCAGAAAAATTTTCAGGATCCCCTCATAAATCATAGGAGAAAGTTGTTTGCATTTGTTATGCTGAAAGTAGAGAAAAAAAAAAGATATTTCATTGTATCTTTGCTAAAACAACCATAAAAACATGAACTGCAGCTTTTGGTCAAAATTTAAAGACTGGGATCTTATTGTTAGAGACTTATTTTGAAATTGGGAAGATCTTATTGTTAAAGACTTAAGACTAGGAACATTTTATTTTTCGGATTTATATTAAAACTGAGATCTTATTTTTAAGACATATTTAAGGCTAGATGTAAAACTTAAGATAAGGTTTTAAATTGCAAATATATCTTTCCAGTTTTATCTTTCTTAAAATGACAGTCTGGCAGCAAACTGAAATTCTAGATTTGTCTGCGCTTTTCTCCATCATCATAGATTAAATTCATAATTTAAAGATTGAATTCAAGATGAAATTTTTTTTCTAGGAAAATATTGAAAGAAATACTCAAGTATTTATCAGCATCTAGAAATGATAATCTTAAACTTGACATATTTGTATTCATGCAGAGTGCTTCTGAGACAATCCAACAAAATCTTTCTATTGGGAACTTTTAGAAACCATTCCCTATTATTGTTAACTATGCTCATCTACCTTTCAGGTGATTATTATGGAGATTCATAATGCTAATTCTCCCAAGGATTGAACACTTCATTCTTGGCTAACAAATAGTGTTGAATTACCCTGTCCTCTCTGCTAATTGAAAATCATCCCACCCTTTGTCATAAGTACTTCTAACTTGTTCAGAAGAAAGAAGATTCATTTGTCTCTGGAATCTTTGCTGGACAATTTCACAGGTTAAACAGTTTTGGTAGCAGAGAATAGTTTTGTAAAAGAAAATTGGGCACCAATAATAAGTTCTTAACCCCTACCAGAGCTTCCCCAACCAGAAAAATCCACAACTCATCTAGGAGAAGGAAAACTCTGTATTCAAGCCAGCCTGGAGAGTGTTGGGCTCCATCAGGCTATCTTTCCCAGGAAACACCACTGCTAATGTGACCACAATGTGGTGCCCTTATGACCCTTAATGGGTTACGGGGCTTGTGATCGTGAAACTTTCTCATAAAAATTGTTCAAACATGAGGTATTAAAATTGTTAACTATGCTCTCAAGGATTGAACTCTTCATCCTTGGCTAATCCTTTGTTCAGAGGAGAAAATGTTCATTTGCCCCTGGAACTGATAATAGTCAATTTCAGAGCTTAAACCATTATTGCCATTGTTAAGGTTATTTCCTACCCAAGAAGTTGGTAAGAAGATAATAGAAGGAGATCTTGAAAAGTTCTTGGCTCAACACCCCCCTCCCTTCCCCAAAATAAGATACCCCTTTGTAGTTACTTTGGGACAATGAGGAAGAGCCAGATTTAAATCAGTGGGTTTTATGACTATTTCAATGCTCATTGTATCATTTAATGTCAAATATAACTCTCCCTGGACAAAAAATGTATCACCAAAAATGTAGACATAGGTGCAATTTTCACTAGAGTCTGATTATTCACTTGGAAAGCATCTACTTGGGAGGAGGGGAGTTCTTACTTCTTTTCATGATATACAGGTGGTGTATTCTAAGCCCTATGGATGCATGGCTGAGTGGTTAGAACATCTGCTTTCTGGTCATTAAACCTCGGTTTGATTCTCACCATGGTTGATTTGTTAGAAAGGTAACTTCTTGTTAATATCAGCTTGGGAAAGCTATTCCAGTGCACGTTATCTTTGGAAAGTATCTGAAAACCATGCCATGGGTTGACGCAAGGCTTGAGTGTTAAATTGAGTACATGGAACTGTTCAGAAATTGTCAATGGTTTGTGCTAGCACAGTCACGAGTTATCATGGCTAAACGTTTGAGTGTGCTGGCCTTGCTCAAAAATTATGAGTAGGTTCTGCTCAGCATAGTTGCACTATAAACCACAGGTGAACTCTGTGGGTTGAGTAGGTGTCTATGATAGGGATTTGTTAGCCATCCTAGCAAATGGATGTGCTCAGAAACAAGTAGTAAACAGCCATTGATTATAAGACCTGCTTATGGGGCAGATGAAGATGATCTGGAAAATTGGAAAGCAAGTAAATTTTATTTCCTTTGGTTGTTAAATTACAGTGATGACATGTCAGAAGATAGAATAAAAACACAAGACTGCAAAATCTTTTTATTCGTTTCTAGTTTTTAATTCAAAATTAAGTTTTCCTCATATAATTAAAACTGCTTTCAAAACAACAAATAATATAAAAACAACATTGTTATAAATAGTGAGAAATTAACAATATTTCATTATTATAAATTATTTTATTGTTAGGTTACTGCTGTCATACATGAGCTGGAGCTTCTCAAGCCTCACTTTCCAGCCTTGATAATATTTGTGGTCTTGTGGGGTGTAGTGAACTATCACAGAGGGCAAAGAGGCCCAGGGTTGCATGCATTTTTCGCAACACACTTCAGAGTGCAATCTGCACACCCGGTTATCTGTTTCCTCCAGGCATCTTTGTTTATCACACACCTCATTTACTATTTAAAATTTATTTTAAAATCTATATCTTCTCCGTTTAATAAGACATGTCTCATTAAATAATTTAGACAAATTTTGTCTACTTATTTTTAATAGGATTCTCTCATAATTATGGACAAGTTTCTTAGTATCCTTATTAAAGGAAGAGAAGAAAATTAGCATGTTGATGCATATTCATTTTATTCCGAGTACTTTCAACATTAGCACAAAGTCATCATCAGGGTTTTGTTTTTTCTAAGACAAAAATTGTTCATCTGAAAAATTAAATTTTTACTTGTGAAGTAAAAAACAGTACATAACCTTAGATTTTTTCATTTCAAAAGTAAAAATTTAATTTTTCAGATGAACATGTTTGTGTTAAATGCTTATTATGTTTATTTTATAAGCACACAAGTTAACATTATTACCTTTGTCCCATAAAAATTGATACATTTTGTGTATGAAACTTATATTCTAATGTAACAACAATTCTGAGACAGATGCAGTATTATATTTGTAAATATTTGTCAATATTATTGGTTCCAATAGTAAAACAATGTAGAGATTAATCTTCAACATTTCTTAGAGCATGATTTTAGCTCTTTTGTTAGAATTCTCTTTGAAAACCAAAAATTTGTTTCATTAAATTTTTAAATAACCTGGCCAGGTTTAAAAAAAAAAAAAAATCATGTGAAGTGTCCATTTTTGGTTGATTGTTATTGGATACCCAGTCTAAAGCACTTGTTCTTACTACACAGCATGAGTCAGCAGTAGTGATGCTAGTGTTACCTTTTCCGTTTTCTTTTTTTTTGAACATTGAAATAAGCAAAACCAAGAGTTACTTTTAAAGCTAAAATCTGTTATACAATTTCTATTAGTTTTTCCCCAAACATACCAGTTTAATGGTGTTTGCATGTGGAGATCTAGGAGTTTATAACTGGATGCTTGAAGATACGGGGGGAGGGGGGGGTGATAGCCAAATTAGAATAATTATAAAATTAAGTCTACTGGTAACTAATATAATGATTAGTTTTTAGCTAAATCTTTTTATAAATTTTTAGAATGCATCTATCAATGTCAGACTCTTTCTTCCGACACTGAGCTAACCAATTGTACAGACTACAAAGATATAATCGAGCAATTAGTTTTTATGGATCATCAACCTTTTGCAAGTAATTCAAATTCGTAAAATATTCTTACATTTTATAGTTTTTCAGCTTTATGAGATTCAAGAGAATTATTATATACAAATAAATCTAATGTTGCCAGCTGAAACTGATATTAATGTAATAATAATAAATGCCATATCCCTTCAGGATGTACATGATCAAGACTCTCCACAGAATACTTTTCTTTATTAATTGTGAACCGCCAGGTTTTGAGAGAAAGAGTGGAATGGTTTCCATTTGCCTTCTCCCCAGTTTGGATTTCAGGGTTTCCCATCTCTTTGGTTGCCGCCCAATGCTAGACAGCCCAGTCTACCCTGCTATTTAAAGTGAATGTAATGAACTCAAATAGAATTTGTACTTGGTTTGCCAATTTTATATTCCAAGCCATTACCATTATACCAACCACACATCTGAACATTTATGCTTTGTGCATAAAAACCCAATTACAGATTTAAATTTTAATCCATTAGGCTAAGTTATTAAAGCACTGATTCATGAATTTGATGATATAATAATTGTAAGTTCAATCCCAGGCCCAGACAGAGCATAATGAGACTCAGTGGAAATATTGATAGACTGATTGGTTCGTCTTCTACAGCTTATCAACTCTTTGCAGGTTATTTAAAGCCAGAAGATATTTTTACATTGAAAGAAATTTTTGGAGATGATAATGATTTATTGATACAAGTCTTATTAATTAACCCACAGCTAGGGAGAGAAGGTGTGGCTTCATATCTTTCCCAAAGGTATTTGCACGTAAGTGAATATAAGCAACACACCTGGAATAAGAACTCAGGTCTTAGATTATCAATTCCAAGTCATTATCCATTACACCACCTGTATATTCAAGCTTACAACACCTGGTAGTCCCAAGCAGTCACCCATCTAGGTACTCATCAAGCTTGGACATTGCTTAACTTCAGTGACTGTATGAGAACCAGTGTTTCAATGTGGTATAACATAAGCAATTATGTAACAGCAAGCTGACAGAACACACTAAGGTCCTATTCTACAAAACTGGTGTTGGGATCATCCTCTTGTATGGAAGTGAAACTTGGACACTGCAACCAAACAGGAAGAGTAGCTCAATGCCTTTCACATGCACTGCCTCCAAATTAAGAAAGTGCCCAATAACACAGTTCTTGATAGGACTGAAATTTCCAGCATTTACACCCTTGTAGACCTGCATCAACCCAGACATGTAGGAAGCTGTAGCCTCAGAACAATCAGTCTAAAGGCAGGCAGTGAAGGAAGGCCTCTTCAAGTTCAAAATAACAGTCAGAGGTGAGAAGTAAAGAAAGCTCAAAGTCTGACAGACTAGTACCAAACTTCCTCTGCACAAATTATAAGAGAGACTACTATTCTTAAATAGGCCTATCAAAGCATGATGGACATCATACTTGAAGCATCATTCAAAGCACAACTCTTGTCTCCCTAGACTGACAGATGTTTAAAAATAAAGAAAAAAAAGATAATACAAATAAGATATACTTCTTTTGACAAGTCTACTAGTATAGAAAAATTACAAATGACATATACAAATAAGTGCTTACTTTTGTGTAAATAGTTTGTCAAATTGCTAAATTACTGTTTGGTTTCACTAGATGCAAAAGTATGTGTAACTTTTGTCCTACTTAATCTAGAAAGGTAATTTTTCATTTGAATTTCTCATGAATGTTCTTTTGCATGGTACAGATTATAAATTAAGATTAATGTTTTAAATTTTGATCTTGAACTCCTTTTTAAATTCAGTCTTTGAAGCCTGAATGAACCAGATTCATTATTAACCAACACTCGATTTTTTATACCATGTATCACCTTACACTATATTATTCACTGGTATTATTGCCCACTTCCACTGCAAGACAAATTATTTCACCTCTTGGTTTATCCAGCTACAAAAGTTATGAATATAACAGCAATCCTATTAAATACTCATTTAGTGCCAAATTACTTTTCATGGCCACTTAGTTAAAATCCAAGTAAGAATGAGGTACACTGTCTGCATCATACTCCAATTCTTACTGAACTCATACTAAACTTCCTGGAGAAAAATGTTTAACATATGTATATTGCCTTTTAATCTAAATTATTTAATTCCTAGGGTCTGGAAGTTGAATCTCCCAAACCATCTGAAACTAAGTTTCTTTTGAGCCACAGTGGAAAGTTTGCTGCTTTACAATGCTGAAAGCTGGACTTTAACAAATATGAATGTTCAAGGCTATACTTGGTGTGTCATTGAAATTTTAAAATAAAATTGTAATTTTTAGCAACAACAACAATAATAAAAAATGTTTTTGTGTATTTAATGATAATTTTATACTTTTACTATTTTATTTATTGTATCATTTCTAAAGGTACATTTGATGACGAACCACTGTAAAATATATATATATGTGTGTTTATGCATGTATGTTTCTATGTGCATACCTCTGATGGTCACTCCTTGTTGTGGCGAAGGGGTTTGCGTGGCCAAATGACTGAGAATGATGCAGTCTAGAGTTCTAAACCCCTAGTAGGGCCATCCTTGGTGGTAAAGTTGAAGGTGAGGACCAAGATTAAGTGCAACCAACACTAAATATCCCAGTGGTGGAACAAGCAGACAATGATTACAACTGATCTCAATGGTTAAGCCAACAGGTGAAGAGAGCTGCATATGACAGACATGCTACAGAAGGTGCTACTTGAAATTATAACAGAGTCTGTTGCAGTTTCATAACTGAATTCTGCAAGTCTCAGTCCATATGTGCCACAGGGGAAGGTCATGAAATCAAGTGTGTGGGTCCCTTCCTGGCAAATTGAGATCTACCATAAACAAATTCATACCATTGGCACTTTCTTCTCCACCAACCAACTCTTGTAAAGCCAAACAGTGACAGGGAATGGATGACCAGAGCAGATTTTGGTGAAATTGGAAGCTTCTTGTCTTGAAACTATACACTGGCAGCAAAGGTTAGTGTCCAATGCCATCATCAAGAAGGAAGTGATCAGCAAAAAGAAATTAAATTCTTGGATATGAGATAAAGCTTCTGCCAGGGAGTCATGGAAAGCACACAAAACAAACAAAGAACTTTACAGGAAATTGCAAAGTGTGATGGAATCATTATGGAATGGAGGATTTTTTTTTAAAAATGTTTTTAACTGTTTACCCTAATCTAATCTAATTTGGAGAGTTGCCGATGCTTAAATGACATTTGACATGTCCTTGGTCTTACTTTATTTTAAATTTTCATTAATGACCTCCTGATAGCATCGACTCTCAACTTAGTATCTATGCTGATGACAAAACCATTTACTCCTGTCTTGATTCTAAGTTTCATCAGTTCAATAAGGTTAAATTGGCAGCTGATGTCAAAAATGACCTTCAGTCTGTTGTTGAATGGGGCAAAGGATGGATTGTTAATTTTAACACCCCCAAAACTAAACTGCCCTCTGTTAATCATCTGAGATAACCCTTCTCTGCCTTCCATCAGCATGGCTTATGCTAACCTCCAGGAGAATGACTCGTTGCACCTTCTCATGCTGACATGAAATGGAAAGATTATATTGAATTCATTGTTAGGTCAGCTGCTAAGAAAGTTGGTTCACTATGTCATGCTAGACAATTTTTCTCTTTAGAATCTATCTTACATATCTATGTCTATTGGCCATGCTTAAAATATTGCTGCCACATATGATCTGGTGCTCCTACTATATATCTAGAGTTCCTTGATAGAATCAGCAATATTATTGGTCCTGATCTGTCATCTTGGCTTCAGTCACTTTCCCACCACTGTAAGGTTGCCTCTCTGTGCCATTCTATAAATACTTTCATGGTAATTGTTTGGATGAGCTCTTCACGAAGATACATAGACTTCTTGAATGTAAGCACAGTACTGGTGTTGAGATCCCATCAATTTATAGTTGAGCTGGCTAGATGTAGCCACAAGTTCTATGCTAACAGTTTCTTTTCTTGCACTTCTTACTTGTGGAACTCTGTTCTGGTTCCATGCTTTCCAGTCAACTTTAATCTTCCAAAATTTACATGCAATGTCACTAATATCTACTGGCCTCCTGATTTCTCTTTTGCTCTCACTCTTAATAATGTTTCTCTTATTCTTTCACACTCAGTAACCTCTTATGTCTTAGTGGCTTTACTGCCTTTCTTGGGATAAACTTGATTAAAAAAAATATATATACTTTTCACCTCAAACAAATTTTGAGAAGTGAAAGCAAAGAAAATCTATTTGAAAATGTTGTTCTTTTATTTCCTAATCTGTCTTGTCCCTATTCCTTCCTTTTGAGACAATGTCTTGTTAGACTACTCTCTGAATTCCAGAATGTTTTCATACTTTGTAGAATTTCTTTCCAATATTTATAATCTGAAGATTTTTATGGTAGTTACTGGTCAGTTTGATCCCATACCTGATCTTTCTCTTGATTTGTGATATTGTATTTTGTATCATTTCAGTATTCACCCAGAGGGGTGAGGGATACTTGACAGTTATCCTTTTGCAGCGACACATGTAATCAGTTTCAGAAAAAGGGCTTAAAGATTGATTGATTTGTTTGTTTGTTTTATTACATCTTATAAACCCTTTGTGGTTTATTTAAAGCCATATATATATATATATATATATATATATATATATATATATATATATATTGGATTGTAGGAGGTTTGTTTTTGCAGTACCCAGTGTTCCAAAGCAGTCCCCCATCTAAATATAGATAAGGCTTGATACTGCTTAACTTTCATGACTGAATGAGAACCAATATTTCAACATGATTTGAGGGACTTAGGGACTCTTTGCAGTTGCCCATTGGTGTCCAATAAATGAAAATTGTCAGATTTTTCTTAAATAATTCCCTTGAAAATAAGATTTTTGTGGCTTATTTGTGCTAAAATTGTATTTTTATTTGACACATTGGCTCCCAAGCCTCATTTCCCTTGTTGTCCCAGGGTACCAACAATATATATTAATTAATTTTGGTATAAGTGACTTTGTTTTAACATTGTTTCATATATGAGGCAAGGATAGCATAGGTAGTATTTATTACCCATGACCCACTGGTATGTTGTTTGGTTCCTGGATCCATTTTACAACCCAGAATCCCACCGACCCACAAAAATGCATAGTACAGCTCTGTGTATGTAAAAATAAAAAAAAATGACCCACAAAAAAAAAAAAAAAAAAAAAAAAAAAAAAGAATCCAAAATGAAAAGAAATAAAACAAAAAAAATAAAAAATATTTAAATTTTTTGAGGGGAAAAATGTGTCCCAGGGTACAAACAATATATATTAATTTTGGTATAGGTGACTTTGTTTTAACATTGTTTCATATATGAAGCAAGGATAGCATAGGTAGTATTTATTACCCACGACCCACTCCGGGTTGTAAAACAGACTCAGGTACTGAGTATTTTACCACCATGAGTCCCATACGAACACATTACAGTTCTGTTTATGTAAAAAAAAAAAAAACAAAAAAAAAAACAGTAGAAATTCCAAAATGAAAACAAAATAAAAGAAAAGACAAAAAAAAAATAAAAAAAGTGGTTCTGGTGTACTGTGATCTCATAAGCAATCAATCATAGCATCCCACTCCCAATAATCCTCATAGAAAAAAAAAATTGAAAAACGACCCACCAGAGGGTCATGTGGGTCTTGCAGACATGCCACTATGACAATCCAGTGGGTTGTGTGGTTGCCAAAATGTTAAAAAGTGACTAAAATGGCAATTTGTTTTCTTATTAATTTGATAAAAACATTGATTTCAGAAAATATAAAACAAAAGTAATTTTTTTTTATAGTGCAACAATATTTAAAACAAAATTATTTGTAAAAATTTGTTTACAGAAACTGATGACTGCGAATCATACCTTTTCATATCCAGAGTGGGTTTGAGACAACATTGGTCAATGACTGTGTAGCCAGCAGAGTTTTATGGGTAGTTTTATGACAGGGATCTCAGTT